GGTCTTGTATTACAAGTGTATTACAAGCCCTGTAGGCTTCCTACCCCCTCCTGTACATTATTTTATTTTTTTTACATAATTTTATAAAAAAATAATTAGATATTCTAATGTGCAAGTGAATAAATAAACAAATAAACAAACATATCCACTTTTCACTAGGATCAACAACGATGTTGCCCTGATGAAGCTCAGCGGAAGCGCCCAGTTCAACAACTACGTCAGCCCGATCTGCCTGCCGACCCAGGACGTGCCCGCTGATACCCCATGCGTCACTACCGGATGGGGCGATACCGGTACGGGATATAGCGGCTTTCCTTCCTAAGCTTTTAGCATAGGGGAGTGATGGTTTGTTTGTGGATGTGTGTTGATGGACATCCCTGTCCTTGGTGCTAAACGCTATCAATTAACACTGACACAGAACACACATACACATACACATACACATACACACACATATACCTGTCCTTGGTGCTGAACACCATCCGCTAACACTGACACAGTCATACACCATCATACACGAACGTGCCAGCTGACACCCCCTGTGTCACCACCGGCTGGGGCGATACTGGTACGGGAAATAGCAGCTTTCCTTTAGCCTCTAGCCTAGTATACAGACTAGCGTTGTCGGAGCAGGTTATCTTCGGGGCTCTAATAGTTTTCTCAGGTTCAACAGGCCGCCCGGTGAGAGTGTTACGCCTGTAGGAGCTTTGAGATAGACTTTTGTACGCCATGAGTTGATTTATTAGCCCCACAACGTTAGGGCTAATTGAACTCCCATCGTGCAAAACCTCGTGCAAAACACAAACATCCCTGTCCTTGGTACTAAGAATTATCCGCTAACACTGACACAGACATACACACACGTGCCTGCTGACACCCCCTGTGTCACTACCAGATGGGGAGATACTGGTACGGAATAGTGGCTTTCCTAGGCTTTTTAGCTTTACGTCCCTGTCCTTGGTGCTGAATGAACACTATCCGTTAACACACTGACGCACGCACGCATCCCTGTCCTTGGTGCTGAACACTATCCACTAACACATACATATCCCTGTCCTTGGTGCTGAACACTATCCACTAACACTCACACATCCCTGTCCTTGGTGCTGAACACTATCCACTAACACTGACACAGACATCCCTGTCCTTGGTGCTGAACACTATCCACTAACACTGACACAGACATCCCTGTCATTGGTGCTGAACGCTATCCGTTAACACACTGACGCACGCATCCCTGTCCTTGGTGCTGAATGCTACCGCTAACACTGACACACGCATCCCTGTTCTTGGTGCTGAACACTATTCGCTAACACACACACACACACACACACACACACACACACACACACACACACATCCCTGTCCTTGGTGCTGAACGCTATCCGCTAACACACACACACACACACACACACACACACACACACACACACAAAGACCTTCCCTATCCTTGGTGTTGAACACTATACATGGGAAATATAGTGGCTTTCCTTTCTAACCTTTTCACACATCAAGGGCGTTCGTTTTGTGAACGTTTCGTGAACGTATCTTGGTGGAATGTTACGCCACACGCAAGCACACATATCCCTGACCTTGGTGCTGAAAGCTATCCACTAACACTGACACAGACTTGCACCATCACACAAACACACACAGACACACACTACACAATACTCCCTGTTGACAAGGCAGCTGAAAAAAGCAACTTAGGCAACTGGCTGTACTGTACAAACTACTGAATACTGTTGTTTTGTGTGTATGTGGCGTAGCAAAATAAGTCGTAACTTGAGTGTACATCACATTGTCCTTTGCGTAATGACCAGTCTTACCCAGTCCTCGTCGCTGACCTTAGGTTTATCTCTCTCCTCTAGGCTCCGGTGCGTCGACCTACCTGATGCAGGCCACCGTGCCCATCATGGAGTGGAACAAGTGTAACAGCGCGCAGTACATGAACGGCGCCATCACCGACAAGATGATCTGTGCCGGGTACGATCAGGGCGGCAAGGACGCCTGCCAGGTGAGCTCACTTTTTCTGACTTTGACTTTCTTAGGATCCACAATTTAAAAGTTTATAGCGCCCCCCGTCTCGGTTGAGGGAAGATGTTCTGTGCCGGGTATGACCAGGTCGGCAAGGACGCCTGCCAGGTGGGTTCCCTTTCTTTCTCTTTTTTCCAAGACAACCTTATACATTGGCTTCGAAAATATAGCTTCACTGTGTTCTTACACCGCAAAGATGTCCCACTATTTCCGGATAATCAACTAACTCAACATGGCCGGGAATGGACAAGTGATTCAAGTATGAAGGTAGGACATATGCATATTGTATGTGCAGGACATGCGACTCTGTGAGCAGTGTTTCGGTTGCAGAAAGTTTATGGCGTCTCCCGTATCTGTTGAGGGGCATTTTCCTTCACGGATATCAGTATGCTGACGGAGAGGAACGATTCAACGTGCTACATTAAAGGAGAATGATCTGAAATGGAAAAAACAGTTACTCAAGCAACTGGATTGTTGCTTGAGTAATTTACCCCCCGACAGACCCGAAATTGCATTGGATATTAAATGCTGCTGGTGACTGTGTGTTTCAGGGTGACTCCGGCGGCCCTCTGGTCTGCAACTCCAGCTAACTACTGGATTGTTGCTTGAGTAACTGTTTTTTTGGCGTATCTTATTACAGAAATTGCATTGGATATTAAATGTTGGTGTTTGTGTGTTTCAGGGTGACTCCGGCGGCCCTCTGGTCTGTAACTACAGCGGCAAGTGGACCCTGGACGGAATCGTGTCCTGGGGATACGGCTGTGCGCAGGCGTACAAGCCCGGCATCTACACCCGCGTCACTCAGTTCGTCAGCTGGATCAACAACAAGATGGCGACCAACTAGACTGAGCATAGCAGTCGGTTCAGTAACAACATTCGTAACAACATTCAACGTGACGAATCTTTAGCCCTGTCACACCGACGTATCGTGTGAATAAAAGACAAGATTCTTGTTCTCTTATGAGACAACGAAAGAAAGTACAGTTAACTTCTTGTCTCCCTCCTTATTTTAAGTATTGTGGTACACCAACTAGACTGAGCATAGCAGCCGGTTCAGTAACACCTAATGTGACGAATCTTTAGCCCTGTCACACCGACATATCGTGTGAATAAAAGATGAAAGTTCTTGTTCTCCGAACTGTAAACCTGTACTACTGTAAACCTCTTGTCTCCCTCCTTCTTTTAAGTACTGTGATGTCAAGGAAGTTTTTTCAACCTCCTTAATTGCTAATACATTAGCCCGATGCCTTAGTTTTGTTTTGACGTTACCTTAACCTATGTACTGCACACTAGATATAAGTTATATTCATTGCTTGAATGAATGAATTTCGCTGTATTTTCCTCTTTCTAATGGCACATACAAAGTATGTTAATAAAAAGATCATCAAAACGAAAAAGTCTTTTCATGTAACGTTACTTTGTAGGAGGAAATTCCACCACTGATATTTTAAAGATATTGTCACTTTCTGTGCAAGCAAAAGCATAGCAGCGGAGGTGTAGCCTCTACCAGGCTCCAGAAATAGATAACATGTCAGGGTAGATAGTCCGCTGAGAATGCTGTTAGCCAACCGGTTGTATGTTCGGGATGCATATTTGACTCACATTTAACTCAAACGCGATTTGATACGCATAGTATGTTACGCGTGGCCTAAATCTGGTCAGACTGCTCCAGAACTTCAGTCAACCTTCGTTTAACTAGTACTTGGTGAACGAGGGAAGGTTCTGAATAACAGCGATACACATACAGACCGCTAGAGGTCGCCCCATGCTACAAGTGTTACCTACTCTCAGCCATGAACAAAATTGCACTTGCTGCAATATAGGATGTGTGTGTGAACACAGATAAGCAGAGTGAGTGAGTGATACTGAGTGATGGAGGGAATAAGAGAGCGAGTAAGCGAAAGAGAGCGACTGAGTGAGTGTGTCACGGTAGTCAGTAAGTGTTAAACAATAGAAACTACAGTTTGTGTTGGTAAAATTATGTCTGACACCACAAAAAGACACAAATTGTTATTAGCTTTATTTATACAGAAAGAGAATGAAATAACATGAACTAAAAGTAACAATTAACTACTGCTCTCCAACTCTGTTCTGCAACTTGCAACACAATGTAACCCAACACCACAGGGTGTCTGCTACAGACGTCTGGTCCAGGTGTTTGGAGAAGACAAAGAAGAAGAAACAGAAGAGGAAAATATTTCGTTTGTACACGCCCTTTTCGAACAAAAGCATCTGAAAGGTCAGTACTCACGTGGTAAAAAAAGAAAATGTGATTAAGTTGAGGGCGGGCAATGACCTTACCAGTAACGTTTTAATATAGCTGAGAGAATGTTTGGAGTTGTTCCAAACTACACAATGTATTAAAACCTCTTGACTACAAAGTCGGGGGATTGAGCCTGTTGTAGGACAACATAAATAGAAGAAAGAATGAAAGGGTTGCCCTGATCAGATTAAAGCTTGTCCTGCAAAGACAACTTTACAATTCTTTACAATAAATTCTGAAAAAAAAATTTAATTCTCAAAATTTCACCAGAATGGCTTTTCAATCTAACCTCACTAGTACCCCTTTTAATCTCAACAATTACTCTCCAAGCAGAGGTTTGGGCTTCAAATGGCTTATATCATTGGCTTTTCTTATGTGTTTTTAGACTTTTTATTGGCTTTTCTTATATGTTTTTAGGCTTTTTATCGGGCTTTCTTCTTCTTCTCCTTCTTCCTTGTTATGTCCAAGTTCATCTTTTCCTATGTGTTTCTTTTGTGCCAGCCCCCAAAGAGATAACACTACAAAAAAGAAAGCCCGACAAAAAAGTATTTATTTAAGACACGCCACAAAATAAACCAAAATCCAAACCTCTGCTTGGAGATTTTAATAGCTAGTCCCAGGGCCCCTAAAAGTGAAAGTGGTTCAGTTTACCAACCCAAGGAGAATGGATCTCGGGGTATCACGCGAGAAAAAGGGAGAGTTGTTGCGAGTAGGCGGAGCCAAATTGTCAATCAGGCGCGGACGTCCGACACAGAGCCAAAATGGCCGCCCAGACCGCAACCACCAAATTCTCTGATAATTATGACCTAAAAGAGGAGCTGGGCAAGTGAGTATACACACGGTGTCTTTACGATTCGAAATTTAAGGTGTTCTTCTGTCTTCCGTAAAATTTCCGTGCGTTTTGACGGCCCGGTTGAGATGCAAGGGATGTATGTTTTCCAGGGGTGCCTTCTCAATCGTGCGACGATGTGTGCAGAAAGCAACGAGTGCGGAATTCGCGGCCAAAATCATCAACACGAAGAAGCTATCAGCCCGAGGTAAAGAAGCTTCCTACAATCTTTTTCTATCTTTCTACGCGGAGAAATCTCCTGTCACGAAAGCTAGAGGCAGATATCCGTCGTTCCCAGAAGAGATGTTGGGGCCCAGAGTGGGTGTTTCCCCGTATCAAGCCAAGGGTCGGGCTCGGGGATAATTTTATGCAAGATATTTCGTCGGGTGGTTTGCGTAGCATTCGGGGCTGTGTTGAGTGCCGTACCGCTTCTAACATATACACGGGCGGTGGTGTTTTAGCAAACCGTAGGGTTGTTAGCAAGCTAGGAACCTTTTTCAGGGGATTTTTCTCTTCCTTGCTCAGCCCGAAAAAATATTACAGGGTAGGAAAGGAGATGCGTACACAAGAGGGTTGCTTGATTGGGGATTTAAAAAATAGCAGGTGTAGCAAAAACACTACCGCAGATGTTGCTAAATAAGCAAAAGGTTTTTAAACCTCTTTTTTTTTAGCAGGGACTACCCAGTGTTTAGGCCAGTCAGAAGTCATTTGCATGGAATAATGCCAAATTTCGAGTTGGAATAAAAAAAAATGGATATAAATAATAAGTGCCACAGTATCTCACTGAATTTGTGCAAAATCTTACGCAGTGCCACTACAATGTATGTAATGTAATGATAAAATGCTAGAAGATAGATTTTTGCACCTGACAGAAAAAAAGCGCATCCCTAAAGCATCTAACAATCAACCAGTGATGTAGAAAAAAAAGACAAAACTGGTGCAAAATAAGGAAACTAACGGGAGATATATTTCCATTTCATACAATACACACTCAACGCTTGTAAAAATAACGTTTGTTTCCCAAGGGTTGATAACAGCACTGCAGTGTTTTTTAAAATAATTTTCCAGCTTGCAGCTTGTATGTAGCCGATATTCATGCTAGCTGGGGCCCAGTGTTAGGTAGGTCCCTGTGTAGAGCTGCTCCTAATCAGGCATGCTGGTAGTGTTCCACAGAAACGCTGGTGGCTCGGGTCGGGGCCTGAACTGCCGTTCGCCGTGTAGCGGTGTTCTTGATAATTTTTCTGATAGGCCCATAATGCTGGGGTGATTATTGGAGATGTCACTGATAATTGCATCTGGCGTGTCCCGTGAATTTGCGGAGAGGATTCCCCCCGAAAGGGTTATACATACGACGGTGCTCGTGTTAGCCTCCGCATTATGCATGCCAATTTTTTATTACTCCTTTCTGTTATCTGTTTTTTTCCCTCTCTCTCCGAACGTGTCATTATGACAAGCAGGGATCTGGAGTAAAAATGATGAAGAAGTCACTTGGTTGGGAGGTTGGGCAGGGTGGGAAAAAATTGCAGCCCAGGGAAAATGGCATTGGATTGACTCCAACATATACATTAGAGAGGCAACCTAATTCAGAACCCTCGCCTCTGAGGCAGAAGGACGAAAGATTCCAGCTCATCAATGGTGTCGGGATAATCCTGGGATAGGTCCCGGGGGACGGGAGGGGTGAATTGGGCGGATTTCATCCAGATACGCCGGGATATACACCAGTCTCGGGTGCCTCACAAATTCACATGAATCTTCTTACCGCTGGTCCATAAATAGATGGATTGGCAGGGAGGGAAAGGGCATCTATTCTGGTGGGAGTGGCACACAATCCCCACTGTGCTCGTACATATTATCTAGCCTCTATAGCATGCCAAAAACTGGGGGGTTTGGGTATAGGTTTTGGGGGTCTTTGGGACCTTTTATGCGCTATTTTCTGATTGCATATAGACAACATAGCCGGCCTGGTTGAATTACCCCCGTTGGGCTACAGAAAACAGCCACCAAACCCCCAGTTCTATAAGCCTGCTACGGAGGCTACATATTATCACGCTGCTGGTATAACTGCTGCTGCTGTAACTCAAAGCTGATCTTTCCGCACCCACAGATCACCAGAAGCTTGAGAGAGAAGCCCGAATCTGCCGTCTTCTGAAGCATGCCAACATCGGTCAGTGTCAAGCTTCGTCTGCGTGTGTGTGTGTGTGTTGCTGGGCTTGAAATTCATCTTTGCGAATAGGTGCACTGGTGCAAGCACGTCGGCAGAACGTACTGCACCTGCGCAGAACCCCGTAGTTTCGCGTTTTTCGTTGGGTTTTTGGTCAACGTTGCATCAGAATTTTGCCTGTTGCAGAGGATATTCTTTCCGACATAATATTTGGAAACTACTGTCGAAATGCTAACCTTATATGAAGGAATACAACCTTATATGAGACATTCTGCCAAAGTGCTATGTACAATACATTACGGGTTTCGCGCAGGTGCAGTACGTTCTGCCGACGTGCTCGTCTGCATATGTGTGTGTGCGTGTGTCAGGGCTCGAAATTCATTTTTGGGAATAGGTGCACTGGTGCACCCAACCAAAAAAATGCATTGGGTGCACAAAAATATTTCAGGTGCACCATATAAGATGAAATAAGTACTACAATGTCTATAAAAACTATGATTATGTTTCATTTCAAGGAAAGTACTATAACAATGATTGTATTATTTTTTCTGACACTTAGATCTAGTTGTTAAGAATATCCTGTAACTACTATATATTTAACATCTTTACAATACATGCATACGTTAAACCTATGAAAATATTTGGGTGCACTGGTGCACCCACAGAATAAAATTGGGTGCACAGCTCCAAATTTGGGTGCACTAAGGTGCACATGCATCCAGTATTTCCAGCCCTGCGTGTTGTTCCTGTGAAAGGGGGAGGGGGGCTTGACATTTTCACAGTGTGACCATAGGGGGAAGGTGTCAACAAAAACAAACATCTCATATCCATTACAATGTTTGGTCAGGGGGGATCATTATGCTGTGGTGTATGAGGTGGGCTATGGGCTCTGTCATGTGTAGAGAGCAGGGGCAGTTTCAGAATGTTCTCTGTTTGCCATCATTCAGAGAAGGAAATACAAAAATGTTTACTGTTTTTAGCAGATGAAAATGAAAAGCAAAAATTTCACTGTGACACAGCCTAGTAAGATTTGATATTTCTCTGTAACAAATGAGAATTTATTGATTATTCTGTTTTTTGTACATCTGTATCCAAATCTGTTGCCATATGTTTTCATGGAAGTTCGAAAAGAAAGCCACTTTGAAAGTTATCAGAACAATGGTACTGTAACATTGTTTGGCTTGTAAGTTGTGTGTACTAGTATGAAAATACATACTACCCAGTACTTTGAATGAATAAATGAATGACTGATTAGAAGGAATGAATGGATGGGTGGATGAATGAATGAATGAATGAATGAATGAATGAATGAATGAATGAATGAATGAATGAATGAATAATTAGATGGAATGAATGAATGAATAAAACAGCCATTGTAGTTAGACAGAACAATGTTGCATTCAAAATTGTATATGATGTACATGTGCAAATTGGTATATACTTTCATGTATTCACACACACGCACGTACACACACATGTACAGTCTATAGTGTAACACTGTTTTCATTGTTATCCTTTTGGAATGGTTGGGTGTAGATTTCAGCTACTGTTGTTGTATTACATGTGAACCTGTTGCTTCAGTAATGTACCACTTGTTTCTTATCTGTAATAGCCATGATTGAATTCCTTAAGTGACCCCAGAAGTCAACAGCTCTTCAGATAATTCCTGCATTGATGAAGACATTTTACATGGCAAAATGCATACACTGTTGTGTTAATGTTATGTAGTATGTGTCATTCTGTGGGACTGGCAAAGCAAGTTGCTTAGTGAATGTCCTATGGATGGTCTTTTGTGTCTTCATCCTCAGTTGTTGATTTTCAGTCGTACATAATTTTTCTTTGAAAATTAAAGGCAAGTTTAGTCACCTTTGTGCTATGACCCATGGCTTATGACTTATGGCCCTTAGTACATCTTATAGAGTATTTGTATCTATAGTTGTATAGCTGGTATAACCGTCCTTCTGTGTAACACACCAGCATTTGTATCTGTACAGCCAATATAACCGCTCAGCCTCTTCACTGTAACACACCAGCTTCTGTATCTGTATAGCAGGTATAACCACCCTTCAGTGTAACACACCAGCTTCTGTATCTGTATAGCCAGTATAACTGCCCTTCGGCGTAGCACACCAGCTTCTGTATCTGTATAGCCGGTATAACCGCCCTTCGGCGTAACACACCAGCTTTTGTATCTGTATAGCCGGTATAACCGCCCTTCGTTGTAACATACCAGCTTATGTATCTGTATAGCCAGTATGACCACCCTTTGGTGTAACACACCAGCTTCTGTATCTGTATAGCCGGTATAACCGCCCTTCGGTGTAACACACCGCTTCTGTATCTGTATAGCCGGTATAACCAACCCTCAGCGTAACACACCAGCTTATGCCTTGTACAACTGCATTTTCAGTGGCTAACCTGGTCTGAACAGATTTGAATAGCAAAATTGAGAGACACTCTGGACTAAAAGCTATGGTAAGCTCACCCTTGTGGTCCATTGGTTTTGTTCAACAGCAGTTCCCATGTTGTCCTGAATGGTCCCATTCATTTCTATTGGCGTTGATTGAACCCTTGTTTTATTCATAAGAGGCTAAAATCAGCCTACAGGCCACTTTTCATTGAGGTCATGAGGGAAGAGGGAAGGGTCAGACAAAATGCATAACAAAGATAAATTCATATCATTTAAAGTAGCTCCGATAAATATATACATGTACATATATTTTACACAATGGTACAAAATGCATACATAAAGGGTGACTGAGGACTGGTATATGGTTTGTGTCCGTTCATTTTGGTCATTTCTGATTCCTGTCTTTTAACCCTATGTTATATTTGCTTGGACATGGCTAGTATGGAATGTAAGGGATACGTGTCTACCTAAATTCGGGTTCAGGTCTGATATGTTGTTTATTCTGCACATCTATCTATTGAGAATCCCAGTTGCAGCTTTTAAAAACCTATTGCAACGAACCGCTGTGGACTAGATATGATCAAGGATCAACCTCCTTGATATGATGTTGAATGAAGTATAAAATGCCATTGTATGCGATTAGCATATAATCTGTATGATCTCTGCATTTGCAGGCATTATTATTTATGATCTACTGTTGAAACTGTAACAATGAAGCATTGTAAACAAGACCCCTGACCATCCTCTCTTGAACTCTTCAAGGGGCTAAGGCCAAAGAGCGTACTTTGTACAATTTTAAGGTTATTAATAAGTAAAGGAAAAAGAGTAAGGGGTCCTTCCCAGTGTGAGTGGTTCAAACCCCACAATCCGATCTTATGCAGCTTGAACTTAATATACAAAACTGGTGTTATGCCTGAAAAAGCCGGTTATGCGAAAGAAACAAACAAAAACAAATAAATACTTGAAGGTTGGAAAAAAACGCCATGTTCTCCATTTCTGAGTGTCATATTCTAATAAGGCCAAGTGTACATACTTTGTACAATTTCAGGGTTGAATAATTTAACGTGTGTAAAAAAACAACAAAAATGCCATGTTCCTGAATGTCATATTGTAACAAGGGCCCCCCTCCCCACTTCTTAATTGTGTTGATGAGAGGTCGAATTACAGGAACTGTTGAATAATTAAAGAATCCCCAAAGAATATTTGCCCTACATGCATAAATCAGGGGATTGCCTTGGTACTGAAATAAAGGGCCTGGCCAAAGAGTTGTTATCTGTCTATATCTGTATCTGTATAGTCGGTATAACCGCCTTTCGGCGTAACACACCAGCTTCGCAGGCACGTGGCACGGCGGCAGCTGGCTACATTACACTGATCGACTTCTTACACCTAACCCTTGAACATTTAACTCTAGACATTGTTTAAAGCTATCTAATGACAATGCCCCTACTGTACTTGGTAACAGCGAGTTCCACTCTGCGATAGTTCTAGGAAAGAATGAATTCTTGAACACCTCAATCCTTGGTTGATACCTCTGGTACTTAATGGAATAGTAGCCAGCACTGAGTGTGAAAGGTCATCTATGGTGGCAAGGCCATACTGATAAAATTTGTGACAGGTTTGCATAGCCAAACCTGTTTTATTTGTTTGTTTTGCATAGTTGGTTAGTCGCCTTTAGTTGTAACACACCAGTATTGTACAAGCTGCGTAGGTTTCTACTTAATTTGACGTTGTGCACCCAACATATTTCTGTGCACCCAAATTTTTAGGTTAGGTGTACCAGGCAGCTAGCTATATCCAAAAATAAATTTCAAGCCCTACACTATCAATCTTAAGAATACAAGTAAGCTGTAGTCTTTTACAGAATGATTTCTTTAGTTGGATAATCAAATTCTGTACTCAATTTTCTAGGAAGTTCTAAATATATCATGTCAAGACCCAAACCCTGTTGGAGTTTTTTTTCTTGATAATTAGCTTACTGGTTAAGTGGCTGTTGACGTCAAGGCATTCGGACTGGCAAAGTGAAATCGTTTCATCTTATCTGTTGTTTAGGGTTACTATGGCTTAAGTAGTAGTCCTATCACCAATAGTTCACCACACCCCCCAGTGGTGTCTTGTGTATACAAGGAAGTTCTGAGTCAACGCTACATACTGTAATTCACTCTATGTTCACGGTAGCAAAAATTCGCAGTCTGAGAAAAACGGACTTGTTTGCGGAACTACATGCTCGCAGTGGCGGCAGGTGAACGAAAAAGAAAGTTGGCAAATTATTTGTTCATGGTAATGATAAGTTATTGAAGTGGCCATGAAAACTGTGAACATAAAAGTATTGTGAAAAACTTGTGATTTACAGTAAAGTATCATAGGGAAAGGGGGAGGGGGGCAACCCTGAAAATGGAAAAAGAATCCTGCTTTGAGAAGCTAATGAAATAATGAAGACTTGAATGTTGAGGAAAAGATATTGAGAGTACCAGTTTACAATCGAATTTCAAGGAAAACTGGGGAAAAGCTTTATAATTTAGGTGTATTTTTTTAGCAGTTGGATTCTCAAAAATGCTGAGGACAAGGCTTCACTCAGACACTTCATTGTTCT